TCGCTCACTTTGCATTTTGTACATTGATAAACATAAACAATTACAATATATATTTTTGAAAACATTCTTACTTTACAGTATTTTTTCACACCTGCCTAAAACTTTTACACAGTACTGTAGTTTAAACCAGTGCTTTTCAATGTGTGGCTGGGGAATTCTGGGAGTTGAAGTCCACAGATCTTAAAGTTGCCAAGGCTAAAAACACTGGTTTAGACTGTTGGTCCATTTAATCCTGGACCAACTATATTGGTGACACTGCCCCCCTTTTATGCAGTCTAGCTGCTGCTGCTCCCAGCAGCTCCCTGTTAAAGGGGGAGCAGCCCTTTTTGCTGTGAAGGGCCTTTACAAATGCTCCTTGGCAGCTTCTGGTGGTGGGGGTTTTTTTTCACATTTTTTAGAGGGAAAAAACTAAGCAAGGTAGGAAATGTAATAGTAGTTGTGATTACTCTTGTGATTTTGATCCTGGCTAGATTAAGTCACGTTACTGTTAAATTTGAGTAGTTCGGGGTTAGTTTAGCCAAGATCTGCAAATGGCCGATTGCTGGGTTTGCACAATACACTTGGTCTTTTGTTGATTTGGTTAAGCACATCCTGCAAATTAGTTGCAGACAGTTTTCAGGGTCTCAGACAAGCATGTTATAAACTTGCCTGGAGAACCTGAAACTTTGCACATAAACGGCACATGTAGCCTTTTGTGTCATCCCCTTAGGAAGATATCTCTTTGTCTAGCTATTTTTACTGAATTGGCTTGGTCTGTTTCCAGCTTTAATGTATTTTTCCATGGTAGTTTTTTTATGCTTAATTCTTGCTGCTCAGTTAGTGGTAGCTTTTTCAAATGATTAATATATGCTTTTACCCCTGCAACTCACTTTTTAGGAAAGGAATGATATAAGTAAGATAAAACTAATTTGGCATTTACATTAGGGTTTTTTGCATAACTTTGGATACCCACTGTTTCACTGAGAAATAATTGTTCATGATTTCACTGAGAAATTAGGCGTAAATACAATTATTTGTATTTACCAAATTCTGTATCAATTTATATAAATACAAACTGAATTTCAGTTAGACTGCTTTACTAAACTGCCTTGTAATGCTCCAGTCATACATCACTTCCTTGCTTTTGGTACCAGTATCATATTTATGCCTAATAGTGAAGAAAATAGATAAATGACCTGTTTTTTTCTGGGATAAGGACTAGTTATTTTAAATATGCATTTCAACTGGCTGCAGGTTTAAAGCTGATAAAGTTGCTGGCTGAGCAAGTTCATTCTTACTGACCCTTGCCTTATTCTTCAGCCTACATGTGTTTAAGAAAGAGAATATATTTTATGGGTTAGTAATAAAATAGAAAGAACCATCAAAAAGGAGTTCTGAAACTTAAAGATAACTTCATCCTGAAAACCATGTCAAAGCATTAACACTGGTTTGTTTATTTTTAACATTCTCTAGTTTCTCCCTCTGCCCACCCACCCCTTTTTTTAATAAAAGGCCTCCTTGTATTAAAATCAACAAATCAACAGTTGTTGATCAGTTATTTTCTTGACATACTGATTTTAAGTAGCCATCTACACTCTGTGCATAACTGAACATCAGCCATTAAACTCAAGACTGCAAAAAGTCATCCAGGCATACAAATATATACTTTGTGTCCATGTCTCAAGTTGAGATGAAAAAATATAGCATTCTTTTTTTTTTTCCTTTGCAGGAAAGTGTCGAGAAACTTGAACTAAACATCTGTGATTTTGGAAAGACAGTTGAAGCCTTGCTAATGAGGTTTGGCAAGGTAAACATAGCTTGACCAGAATAATAAAACAGAATCTTTTCATTTATTTGTCTTTCTCACTTTTTTCTTGACTCATCCTACTAACGCAGGCAAATTAAATGTCTGAAGTGCCATTCCAATTTTGTTTTAAGACACTAAAACGCTATCTTGGAATATACATAAATCAGTGATTGTTTTCCATAGTCTGACAACTTTGAGATTAATATAGCCTACAAAAGACAATTTTTTTCACTAACCACATGTCAGTATGGGGAAATGATGATTGCTATATTAATTTAAATCATTACAATTCATTATGACTAGTGATTCATTATGTTTTCTTTGATATTAGACTATTGTGGATGAGCAGATGACTCTTAAAAAAGTGGCAGACATCGTCATTAATCTATATGCAATGACTGCAGTCATATCCAGGGCTAGTCGATCTATCTGTATTGGCTTGAATAATCATGATCATGAGGTGAGTTTATGTCTTAATGATGTGATGAACTTGAACAACAGCACAGTCAAGCAGACAGAAGGGGAGAAATTCAGATTATTTTTTACTTTAACTGAGAGCAAGGTTTATGTAGATTTCCAATTGTAGCATTTCATATGGTTGAAAAAATGTTCTGTGACAGGATGATTTTGTAACACACACACACACACACACACACAGATTCTTGTTTTGTTTCTCCAGTACATCATAATGTTAGTATAATTTTGAAATGATTTAATGTATCCGTGATAATTTTCTTATGGTTTTCAGCTAAATGGAACCCGGTGTACAAAGCTTGCATGTGGATGTTGGAGATGAGTAGAAAGTGACTACTGCCTAACACGTTATATTTGATTATCCTACCTCTACTAGCTGATGAGCCAGGATAGGCTTTTAACTATGAATTAGCAAAATCATTCTTCCCTCCTTCCTCTAGAGTTGTTTAGATATTAAAACCTGTATGTCTTAGATGACACGACAAAACCAATGTTTTAAACTGATTTTCAGATTACAAAACCAAACACTGAACGAAATGTAGAAATTAAAGAGTTTCTTCAGGAGATTTGAAATTATTATTAGGTTCTAATTGTTGTAGAGGCAGCGATATAAAAAAAAAATCTTCTCTTAATCTTTCAGACTTCAGCCATGGAGTTATTCAGCTGTGAGGCAACAGGCACTGTGAAGTGGGGAGGAAGTAAGAGAGAGAGAGTCAGTTTCTACTTACTAAGCAGATAGTTTGTGTACCTAGAGTTGAATAAGCCAATTTTGTGTGCAAGCCATGTATATCATGAGTTAATGATGGTATATGGATTAAAATTCTTGAAGCATATTTAGGAACAGAATTACTTCAAACTACTAATGACTTGACTTGACTTCTAGGTGCTGCTTGCAAATATTTTCTGCACTGAAGCTTGTTTTGTGAATAATTACACAATGGTATCATTACAAAAAAGTAAGTGTTACAATTGACTTCAGTATTTTGTATTGCTGCTTTAGCTGTAACAAAATATCTTTAAAAGTCCTTCAAGTAAAGGTTGATTCCTGGTGATTTCATGGACAAGGCCATGCAATTTTATTGGCAGTGCTGTGGAGATGGCTTGCCACTGCCTTCTTTCTAGATGTTTTTTCCACTTCCCAGCCTGGCCTACAACCCTGATATCCTCTGAAAATCTTCCATCCAAGTACTAACCGGATCTGACCTTGCTCAGCTTCTGAGCCTAAGCTGGCCAAGTACTGTCAAGACCTGACAAGACTGAGTGTTTTTAGATTTTGGGATCATCAGGATCTGGGAACTTGCCATCTTTGGTTCTGGATGGGGTAGCACTGCACAATCTGGGGGTCCTTCTGGACTCATGACTCCTGCTGAATGAGCAGGTGGCAGTTGTGGCCAGGAGACCCTTCGCTTCAGGTTGTGCGCCAGTTATGCCCATTCCTGCATCGGGAGGCTCTACTCTCAGTCACTCATATCCTGGTCACCTCCTGCATGGATTACTGTAACATGCTCTATATGGGGCTGTACTTGAAGAGCATCCAGCAGCTTCAGCTTGTGCAAAATGCAGTGGTGTAGGCACTCATGTGTGCACCTAGATCAGCGCATGCTACACCTCTGCTCTCCAAGCTGCATTGGTTACCAGTTTGCTTTCGGGTTCAATTCAAGGTGCTGTAATGACCTATAAAGCCCTGCATGGCATGGGCCAGGTTATTTGAGGAACTGCCTCTCCCCAATTACATCTACCCATCCCATCAGGTTTGGCAGAAGGGGCATATTATGGGCCCCATCCAGTAAGGAATGTCATCTGATGGGACCCAGGAGGCTTTTCTGCCGCAGCACCAGCCCTCGGGAACATCTTCCTCCCTGAGGTCAGATTAGCCACAACCTTATTGGCCTTCCAGAATGGCTTGAAAACATTGCTTTGCCATCTGGCCTGGGGATCGGCAGTGGTGGCATGGAGCCTGCTAAATGGCTATACAGGTAGTCTTTGTTTAGCAACTGCTTTGTATAGCGACCATTTGCAGTTAACGACAGTGATGAAAAAGTAACTCTGCAACCAATCCTCACATTTAGAACCTTTGCAGATCTATAAAGCAAAGAAAAGTTGAAGTAACATTGTAAGCACAGTCACAGTTTCACTTAGCAACCACTTCACTTAGCCGAGTTGCCAGTCCCAGTTGTGGTCACTAAACAAGGACTGCCTGTATTGTTAGTAGTTGGATTACACTTTCAAAGATTATGTTTTTTAATAGTTTTTATTGTTTCAATGTTTTTTAATGCTTTTGGTTGTTATACTTTTGGTTATTTTTTTATTATTTTTTTTGTGTGCTTTTAACTTTGTGAGCCACCCAGAGTCATGTATGTGACTCTATATATTGAATGAATAAATAAATAAAATGTCACCCCTCTGCGGTGTCAACAAAATAGTAAATATTTGTCAAAGCAAACATGCTAAAGCTGAATCAGTACCACTGCCATCCTTTCTAAAACATGCTTTCAGTGTATCTTAAGAATACATGTGCCTTTTCATTTTTCCCATAATATGTTCTTTCCCTTCATTAGGAATGTGCAGTTGTTGCCACCAGCTGAACAGCTTGTGTTTACTGTCTTGTTTCTCATTTAGATGTATCTTTAAAGGAACAGTTCTGTTTCCATTCTCTCTAGATTCTCCTGAAAATCTGGATGACAGCATTAAAAAAGTGGCAAATCAGGTGCTGGAAAAAAGAGCCTATATCTGTTCACACCCACTTAACAGAACATTCTGAAAGTTGGAAAAGAACAAACTGCAGTCTGAGGTGTACTTAACAATACAGCTGGAGCCAGAGAGCACAGTGTATCTGAACGTATACAAACTGGATCCTCAGGTATATTCTTAGATCTGAGGCAAAATGCAAGACTAATAACATTGTCATGAAATATGGTTTCATATCCTACAGTGCAATTTTATAGAATAAAATAAAGTAATAAATTGTATAAGCCTGCTTCCAGTTGAAAAACTGCATCTATCTATCTCTTCCTCTCTCCCTCCCCAGCACTAGAGAGTGCAGTCTGTGGTCAGATGTGAGGCCATGTTTTTAAGATGGCTGCTGTACAATACTAATATATGGATTCCCAATGTTTTCCTTCACGGGAAAGAAAATTTTGGAATGAGTGAATGAATGCATGCATGCATGCATGTATTCATTCTGTTAGTCATCAGATACCCTGCCAATATAGTGAGCTGGCCAAAGGAGGACATGGAGGGTGCCGATGTGAAGACCCAGAAGCTCCTCACAATGTAGAGAGGTTTCCATGCCAAGTCCAACACCCAGAAACTGTATACCAGCCAGAAAGAGGGCAGGCGGGTTCTAGTGAGTGTCAAAGCCACTGTTCTGGATGAAACCCAGAGCATCAGGGAGTATATCTGTAAGATGGCACCCAAAGATGAGCTGCTGAGACAATGCCTGAGGCAGCAGCAGACGTGGGAGGAAGTTCAAACAGAGGAAATGCCGTGGCAAGACAAGACCCTGCATGGGATCATTGACAGATAGCTGAGGTGGCTGACACTGGGAAATCCTACCAGTGGCTGGAAAGGGCTGGACTAAAAGACAGCACTGAGGCACTGATCATAGCAGCACAAGAACAAGCACTAAGCACCAGATTCCCAGAAGTAGGGGTCTACCACACTAGACATGAGCCAAGGCGCAGACTGTGCAGAGAGGCCTCAGTGACAGCCCAACACATAGTGGCAGGGTGTAAGATGCAGGAACACCATACACTGAACAGCACCAAGTAGCTGGCATTGTGTACAGGAACATCTGCACAGTGTATGGGCTAGACCCTCTGAAGTCCAGATGGGAGGTTCCACAGAAGATCATGGCAAATAACAGGGCTAAGATCCTGTGGGACTTCCAGATCCAGACAGACAGGCAGGTACCGGCCAATCAGCCAGACATGCTAGTAGAGAAGGACCAGAAGACAGTGGTGGTGATAGATGTAGCAGTGCCAAGTGACAGCAAC